CCCCGCCAACTCCAGATCGTTTTTAAATGGAGTCATTAAAGAACTTTTATTTGCTTTTCTCCATATTGTTCAAATCCACAAAACAAATTCACTGAATTTCAGGAATTCCTATTTTAAGATCTTCCTGGTTTTTTAACAAAGTGTTTCGGGACACCTGACATTGAGTATTTAAGCCCTGTGTAAGGCACATCCTGGAGTTCCAGAATACCGCTAAACTTTTTATATAGTCTGAAACATTTCGGGTGTGACTCACACTTCTAATGTGTGTGATGAGCTAAGGCTTAGATGCCTATAGCTGAGCACAGATAGGAAGGAACTCGGGCACATATACAGGTGAGCATGGCCGCACACCTGTCTGTGCTTTAGTAAGTGCAGGGAGATGTTGAGACTGGCTGGCAGTTAGCCAAAGAACCAGGGTCTACTTAATTCTGTACATTTCTTAGTAAATGTGGCCTGGCCCTTAAGCTGGGTGGTGAGTTAAAGCATTACAGAAATTCCCAAAGCGTCTCCCAGAGGGGACTGTGTGACATTTATTTCCTGTTCTGCTCAGCAATCCATATATATCCAAATACTTATAAGAATCACTGTTTCACAAAAGATCAAAGTGCTAAAGCCAAGAAAAAAAAAAGAAAAAAAGAAAAATGAGGGGTACTTTATTATTTTGTTAGAAAGAAGCACTGGACATAATTATTGAAAATTTTGCACTTTCAGGAATGCATGGTTTAAGCAAAACTATCGAAATGTTCCAAAAAAATTACATACGTCAATTGTTACCTTTAGCCTTTTTTCTTTTCTTTCTTTCTTTCTTTCTTTCTTTTTTTACTTAAAGCTATTCTGGTATGCAGGCTGAAAGCGGTTCTCCTTAACACCCTAGTGCAGGCCCGGCTCTGGACCGGTAGTTTATACACATCCCAGGACAAGAAAAGATGTTGAGAAAATGTGGGAAGAAAGGGACAAGGCTGATCAAACCCCACATATTCTGATTTGGCCTGAAGGTTTTATTAAAAATATTATTTCATCTTTATATTGTGACTAATTTCAAAACGTATTTGCGACAGTGTAACTTTTAAATGCAGTATTTACTGCGGTCAGATTACTTGAAGACAAAGTTTCACAGAAAACTTTAAATTCCATGAAAAAACCTGTAACGTACCAATAAACACGTAGAAAAAATATAATTAAAAAATCTAAAGCATCAACGACCTCAGGTCCTGTCAGAAATAATTAAACACCGCATGTTGCTCTCACATCGGTTAGCAACTTGCATCTCAGTTTACGCTGGGGTGGGGGTGGGGGGTGGATTTGGGGTGTATGTGACAACCTAAGAAAATAATTTTGCCTTTTCCTAAAAGGAAGTTAAGTCAGAGAGAGGAGCTGAGGACGGATGGAGGGGGGCTCGGCCGCAGTACATTTTGGTTCAGTGTGTTTTCCTTGAGCCAAATTCAAATAAATTCTACTTGCAAGCTTGTTAATTGCAGGGGAGTTGAGGGCCCCTCGCGCCGGTCTTTGTCATCCATCCCTGGCCGGGTCCGCCATCGGGGTCTTCTCGCCTACTTTCTCTGGACCACACCGCGGAGCAGACCCGGGCCAGCTGGAGGCCACCGAGTGTGCTGGCGGGGCCGGCGGTTAGAAGCAGCACGCCACCGGGCCAGACTGGAAAACGGTTTGGAGGGGGGAGGCATGATTATTTCTCATTCCTATTAGCACGGTAAACTCTACAAAATAATACCGATTTTAACCTTCCTCCCTTGCGCTGAAGGAAGCTCCTGCGAAAATCGCGCCCGCTCCCCTGGGGCCCCTCACTTTCAGTTCGTGCTCATATTTCTCTTCCTCCTTTTTCAGATCCACTGATTGTATTTTGAGCTCATAAAACACGCGTTTAAAATCAGCACGTTTCAAATTATTGGTGGGGAGAACTGGACTTTTTTTCTCTTTAATTTATTGACTTAAAACTCTTACGCATTTTTTTAAGGGCGTCTTTTTTCGTTTTTTTTTTAGAAGAAAGGCTTTTTAGGAAACTATGTACATAATCTGAATCACCCTCCCCACACCGCAAACGCAAAATTCACAATGCGTTTACAAGAAATAACACAAAACAAAACCAAAAAAGGAAAAGCTCATGTACAGAAAGTTTTACAAAACCCAGGACGTAACGCTGTCTTCTGAAAGGGGTAGGGGAACCTCTTCGTATAAATTAACAAACCAACCCCCCAAAATAGCGTTAACTACAAACAAATCGTGTTCGGATCTGCCTTACTATATCAGTAACAAATGAGAACAGCTCCCGGCACAGGGTCTGCAACCAAACGCGTTCAGGAAGCGGTGCGGGATAGAAACGTTGGAGTCGCCTCTCGTGTGGTGTGTGGTCTTTGTGTCCCCTCGAGAAAAGAAAACGCTTTCTGCCTCGTCCGTGGATGATAAATACTGTACAAAAAGTCTCAAGAAAACACCGAAGCTCAGTCTAAAATGCACGGCTGTGTCCGCGCCCAGTTCCCCGGGCGCTCCGGGTAAGGTGTGGCGGGGGCGCGGGTCACCCTTTCATTGTCACTGTGTTTTTTTTCACAGGACATGGAAACGTCCGTGCAGAAGCGAGGCCGCGCCGGGCGCCCGGGGCGGGCCGCACGCTCCTCGTCGTGCGTCGCCGGCGCGGGCCGCAGTGTCCCCGCGTCCCTAGATGTGCGTCAGAGGCACCGTGCCGTTCACGCCCGCGCCCGCGCCCTGGTAGTGCTGCGGCAGCGAGTGCAGCCGGCTCTGCGCCGCGGCGGCTGCCGCCGCTGCTGCCGGGTCTCCGCCTTCGCCGGCCGGCAAGTACATGCTGATCATCTCGCGCAGGTCCCCGGGACACGGCGCCCGCGAGTGCGCGGGGGCCGGAGGGCTGCCGCTCGGCTCCGACTTGACGAGCGAGCCCAGCGCGCCCAGGGCGCCCGACGACGCGGCAGCCGCCGCCGCCGCCGCCGCCACGGCCGAGTTCTGGTGCGCGCTGCCCGCGGCGGCGGCGGCGTAGGGCAGGCCGCCGTAGCCCGAGGGCGAGGCGCTCATGTAGCCCTGCGAGTTGGAGATGGGGCTGTACTGCAGCGCGCCCATGTCGTAGCGGTGCATGGGCTGCGGGTTGTGCGGGTGCGCGTGCGGGTGGTGCGCGTGTGGGTGCGCCGGGTGCGCGTGCGGGTGCGCGCCGCCCGCGCCCGGGTGCTGCCCGTAGGCCAGCTGCGCCTCCTGCATCATGGCCGCGGCCGCAGCCGCGGCCGCCACCGAGCCGGGGTAGGCGCCGTTGGCCCAGCCGTTGACGTGCGCGTAGCCGCCGCCCGCCGCGCCGCCCGGGCTCTCCAGGCGCTGGCCCACGGCCGCCGCGCCCACGCCCACACCCACGCCCATGGCCACGGCCGCGCCGCCGCCGCCCGCGCCGGCCGCCAGCAGCCCGCCGGCCAGCGAGTACTTGTCCTTCTTGAGCAGCGTCTTGGTCTTGCGGCGCGGCCGGTACTTGTAATCCGGGTGCTCCTTCATGTGCAGCGCGCGCAGCCGCTTGGCCTCGTCGATGAACGGCCGCTTCTCGGCCTCGGACATGACCTTCCACTCGGCGCCCAGGCGCTTGCTGATCTCTGAGTTGTGCATCTTGGGGTTCTCCTGGGCCATCTTGCGCCGCTGCCCGCGGGACCACACCATGAAGGCGTTCATGGGCCGCTTGACCCTGTCCTGGTTCGCCTTGGCGACCCCGCCGCCGCCCCCGCCGCCGCCTGCCCCGGCCGGGCCCGACAGGTTCGTGGGAGCCTGGGCGCCGCCAGGCGAATGCAGGTCGGTCTCCATCATCATGCTGTACATCGGGGCGGCTCGCGGGTTCACCGGCACCGCGCGGAGAGGGCCTGGAGCATAGACGGCCAGGAGGCGGGGACGGACAGGGGCTTAAACGCGGAGGCGAGACGGGGGAAGAGGTCCTAGCAGAGAGAAGAATGGGGGAGGTGCAAGCAACAAGAATAAAATACAAAAAACACGCACTCAGCGCAGGTCCGGCTCACAGGTGGAAAGTTTCTCCTCGTGCACAAACCACTTGCCAAAGACGGCCGATGGCGGTGGTCGCTCTGGGTGGAGCGGTGCAAACAGGTGCAGTCGTGGCCAAGTTGCAGCTCCACTTTTCGGGCCGCGAGCGATGCGCGGCGCCTTCTCGCGGGCCGCCGCCGCGTGCTGTCTTCTTTCTCCTGCTCTCGGTCCTCAGCGGCCTCCAACTCCGAGCGGCAACTTCTAGCAGGGCGGCACGCCGCGTGCGCTGGGCATGTGCCGGTCCCAGGTGCCCGGGGGAGGGGGAGTCGGGCTGCCCGCTGCCTGCCGGGTCCGTGCGCTCGGAACGGAGGCGCACGCGGGGCCGGCGGCGCGCGGGGCCCAGCAGCCATACGCCGGGCCCGGGCTGCCATTAAATGAGCGCGCCGCGGCCAATGGGAGCCGACGGCGGCGGTGATTTGCATGGCGCGCTGGCGAGTGACGTGGGGAGGGAGTGGAGGCCCTGGGCGCGGGCGGCGGGGCGGGGAGCAGGGGAGGGAGGAGGGGGAAGGAGGCCCGCGAGGGGGCCTCAGCCGATCCGCTTCCAGAGCGCGCGCGCCGGCGGCGAACCGCGAGCTCACCCTGCTCGCCTCTCCCCGCCCGCGAGCTCCGAGCGATTAACGACGGGGTTTAAAAGCAGAGACGGCGAAAGAATGGTTCGGGTGGGGGCAGGGTGGGATACAGCCCCGAGCCGCGCTGGAAAGAGCGCGAGGAAGCCCCGGCTCCTCCCCTGCCCGCTTCCAGCCAACTCTGAGCCCGGAGAGAAGGGCAGAGTTGGGACCCGAGGGCTGGAAAGGAGGGGCGCACCCTGGGGAGCTGGGGGCACCTTCGGAGTACACAACCCGAGAGCCCCCGCGGCGTGTGCGGAGCGGCCTGGGCAGCTCCGCCCCTGGCCCTCCGGTGGATGCTGGCCTCGCCGGCGCGCGCGCCGAAGCTCTCCACTGCCCCCTCCTAGCTAGGCCTTGGCAGCCCAGGCCCTGGGAACTTCCGCAACGCGGGAGCATTTTTGTCCGGCCTGGCTCCATAGTTTCTTTCAGCACCAACCCTAAACTTTTTCTTGCGGGGGGTGGGGTGGGGGGATCTTTAATGAGTCTGGGGGTTAAAATCATGTGCTCTTCTCAATTTGGCTTCTAAGTTCTATAAAGGAATTTCTAGGAAGGTTGAAAACAACACGATCTATCTGGAATCTCGTTAATAACAGTTGAAAAAGTTTGAACTAGCAAAAGAATGATCTAGCCCACGCTCTTCCGGAGCGAATTTTACACCAGCTGTTCGCCTGAAAACTGCGAAAACTGCGTGAATGGAGCGGGGCTACCTGACACCTAATCGGTAAAGTGAGGGCCTCGGGATTAAGCGACAGATGCCGTTTTCCCGTTATGTAAACGGAAGGCCTGGTTCCTGGAAGGATTCGGGCATGCTCCTGCCGTTGCAATTCTTAAACCTCAAAGTGTCTTCGAAGCAGGGGCGTACAAGAGATTTCCAGACCCAATCTCAAACGCCATTGCGCTCTTGCTACCGGTTCCATCGGAATGATAGGCAAGTGGCCCAAACACTTCGCGCAGAAAACCCACAGAGCCCCAGCGTCCCTCCTGCGTCCTTTAGAGTAATGGGGGTGGGGGGGGGGGGGGCGTCTCCGTGCGCTCCAGAGTGGGAGGAGCAGAGATTGACTGCTTGGGGTGAAGTGCAGCCTGACCAGAGCAGCGTGACGGACCATCTCGTATGGAAATAAACATGGTGATGATCAGAAGAGTAGTAATAAGGATGTTTTAGTATGTTGGGCAGTGACCGCATGACGCCTTTTCTTTCTTTTCCCCGTCTCTACTAAAAATTCTGAGGTGGTGAATTTCCTGACCCTATTGCTTGTCCAAGGTACAGGAATAAGGCTTTATTTCCTCTCAATTACTATGATTATTACTGTAGATTTTTTTTATTGGAGGGGCCACATTATATGGAAATGCAAAACCAAATTGGTTTTGCAGGATAAATTGTTTTTTTTTTTTGTCTTTTTTCATTTAATAGTGAACTCATCAAATAATATATAATTATATTAGAAAAGAAATGTCACTTCATATTTATTTTTCACTAAATATCTAGTTTATAAACTTGGTTTTCAACTACCTTCTTATTTCACCAATCGAGTTTGTTAAATCTTTTGATTTGTTTCGTGCACTACCTCCAAATATCAGTTACATTGTGAATGAACAACAAAAAAAAAGAGCACGAATGTTGTTTAGGGAATGCTATAGACCCGTTTTTCCTTTGATAATTTAGGAGGCGATGGGTGTGCAGTGAGATCCTGTGTGTTACGGAAAGTCAGCAAGACTGAAATAAAGGAAATGTTTTACAAATTATAAACTATATTATCCACTTAGCAATTGAAAGATTTCTTTCCTCTGCTTTTCAATTTAGATTTTAAGCTAAATAGCCTAAGACCCCCTGAAAATGCTTTGTGTGAATCAGGCTTGGCACATTATTTTCCATATCAATGGAGCAATTTATTTTATAAACACCCTGCGCTCCAGTTAGCATTGCAGGAATGCTTTATGCTTTTGGGAACTTGGATAGCTGACTTTGAAATGGTCTAGTTTCTTTCTACCATAGTCCTGAAAATTGTTTCCAAATACGATGGTACCCTTGTTTTCCAGAGCAACTAAATAGAGGTAAATGGTTTATTTCACTTTGTATGAGATCATGCTAGTGCTTATCAGGGTGCTCTCCAAAAGCCCTTTTTAGTGAAGAGATATTCTCTGGGCCCAAGCAAGTACACAGAATGGGTGCCCATGTGCTTAAGTATTAAACCAGAGCTGCAGGTGTAACTTGTTGCCAAGCGATAGATGATTGGCAGCCACTGTCCATGCCAATTAGGCAGTGGCAGGGCATTGCATGCCAGACTGCTCAGTGCCTTCCATCCTGGCATAAAGATCGAGGAGCACATATCAACTCCTGCTGGTAATGGCTTCTTGGAGCCTCAATTTCTTGCTCCTTCTGACCCCTCTCCCCAGAGACTCTTTAAAAAGAGAAAAAACAGCCCAAAGCCCGTTTGAAGAACCATTTCCTCTCCCTGATTCTGTTCCTCCTTCCAGGTTGGCAGCGACTGTCTTCAAGCTGAGGACTTTCTCAAAGACTGGGGACCATAGGATGGGAAGACAGATGACACTGTTTGCAAGTGACATTAGAGCTTAGATGCTGAGTAAGCAAAGGATCAGCTCACTGTTGATTAACCATAATTTCTCTCTCGGCAATGTAGAGACTTCATTGTGCCTCTGCTCAAAATGCCAAAGAGGAGATCAACCTAGAAATGTGGATAAAGATATTTCTGCCCCTTATTTAACTTGCAGCATGATCATCCAAGAAAAATCAGATCCACAACCATCACTGGAGGGAATTATATACACACATATACATATGTGTACACATGTGTATGCACAGAATGTATGCATTGCAGACACATGTATATACATGTGCATATATACATGTGCACACAGCATATAGAGCACACAGAATGTAAGCATGTATATGTCTATGTGATACATGCAGGCAATTACCCAAGAGCCCTTGACTTTCAAATAAGTGCTGGACTTCAACAGCAATGGTGTAAACTGCCTATATGGAGTCAATAAAACCTTTGGCTTTTTGTCTCCCTCCCTGTGGTTGTACTCAGGAGAAATCTGAAGCAGAAAGGGTTGCCCATGGACAGAATCCCCTGTCCCTAACAATCTTGAAGGAAAGCTAGCTTAAACCTACCTAGAGGCAACTTCCTGTGCCAGCACCAGTCTTAAGCTCCACAAGCAGACAGAAGGACAGGCTGGGAATTCTGGGGGACAGTCACCGATCCACTAGGGAAGCAAAGAAGACAAAAACCTCCTGGATTTCCCAGCCTTGGCCCGAAGGCCGGTCCTGGTGACCCCTTCCCAGGGATGTGCCCTCCAACAGTTCAGCTCCCGCGGCCCCTGAGGCCCTTAGAAAACCGAGGCCACGTGTAGGCGCCTCCCGGGCTTGCCTTCCAGGCCCTGGTGTCGCCTCGGGGGGCTGGGACCATAGTTCTAGGGAGGAACTCAGGAGGAAGCCGCCAATTCCCAGGCCGGACTTTTTGGGAAAAAACAGATTCGAGAAGAATAAGGAGGAAGAGAAGAAGGCGGCAGGGAAAGCGCGCGCGAGAGGAAGAAGGGGAGACAGTTGAGTGAAGAGGCCTTCGAGGTCACCTCGGCCAACAGGAGGCGCAGACTGAGCTGCGGCGGGAGCGCTCGCGGCGCCGGGCAGGGAGCGCGCACACCAGGACTTCGCAGGGAGGTCGTGGGGGCGCGGGGGCGCCGACCCGGTGGCGCGACGCCCGGACCCAGCAGCCGCGCGGGCCGCGATCGCCGTCTGCTGGCCGCCGCCGCCCTCGCCGCCCTCGCGCAGCTCGGGCCTCCGGCCGTGGCTCCAGCCGCCGCGCCTGTCCTGCCGCCTCGCGCCCGTCCCTGGGCTCGGCGAGCACTGGGGGCGCGCGCGGGGGGCCGGGGAGTCGCGGGGGACGCCCGTCTCCCCCGGGTCCCCCCTGCGCCCTCAACCCCGCTAACTCGGCCCGTTGTTCCCAAAGCCAAAGAAGCCAACATAGCACAAAAGTTTTTTCGTTGGTTTGTTTGTTTTAAAGGGGAAAAAATGGTCCTGGAAAGGGGGAAGAGAGAAGGACAGGAAATCGCTGGCCAGTGCGGAGCTTCGAGCGACACCTGTGCCCTTGAAGGACAGGAACGGAGCCGGGGGTGTCTGTCTCTGCCCCGAGCGCGCGGGTCCGCCGTGCGGTCCCCCCGCGGCGTGGGCCCGGGCCCGACGGGCTGCTCCGGCAGCGTGTCCAGGAGAAGGGACGCACCGCCTGCCCCCTCGGAAGCAAGCAAGGCTGTCTTCCCGGCGACCAGCCTGGAGATCCGTGAATTCACATCGAAGCGCAAAGAGCCCTGAGCGCGCGTGCCGCCTGTGCCCCGAGCTCTCTGGGTGAGAGCATTTGGAGCATCTCTGGGCGCTTTCGAGTAGGGGCTCACCCTGTGAGCAGTGCTCACACATATAATTCAAATTTCACAGCTGACCTGCTCTGAAAACCTCAATCAGCTTCTAATTGAAGGGAAAACAAAATATTGCTTCCCTACAGCAGAGCTAACGATTTAATCATTATATCAGACATTATAGCTTTTAATTAGGCTAATGCTGATACTGTATGGAAAGAGATAATTCAACACAGTTCTTGATGAATTCTGTAATTGGGTTAACGGCAGAGCAGTCGGGGGAGAGACGTCAATATTCAAGCTGCGTCTGTAGCCACCAGGTTTATGAATGGAGGAGAGGAGAGAAAAGGGAAACACTGGGACCCGAGGGGAGCCTCGCGCCCTCCGCCGGCGGAGCTCGGGGGGAGGCGGCCGGACAGGAGCGGAGTGGGGCGGCCGCGGGGTGCCAGGCTGCCCAGGCCTGGCTGCCAGAGGGGGCTCCGTCTGCCGCGCGGCCTGCCCAGCGCTTTTGCGGGAAACTTTCGGAGAAGAATCTCAGCCACGCTACCTGCCCCGCACGCCCGGCGCTGGAGTGTCCGCAGGGTGCCCATCCAGCCCAAACCAATCGGGGCGGAGGCCTGGGCCGAGCTCAGCGTCGGCGCGCAGTTCTATTCGGTAGCTTTTAAAGACGCGATGTCTGCTTGGGCCCCCACCCCGCGCAGCGTCGGTGCCTGCGGGGAGGTCACAGCGCCCCGGCCCAGGGCGGCCCTCGCTTGTCTCTGGCTCTGGACGCGTAGAGCCCACAGGCCACCTGCACTCTCATGTCCACGCCAGTCATTCAGGGCCCGGTGAGAAGTCGCTTGAGGGGGGACCCCGGTTAGTGCCCAATGGCCTGGCTGGGTTGGGCCTGGCTAAGCCGCTCCCCGAACCAGGGATGGCGGACTGAGATTGGCAAGTACAGCACTTGGGCCGGGGCCGCTTTCCAAGTCCTGCGAAGGAGCAGAGAAGGGAAAAGCTGTCAGACCCACCTGCAGGGAGAGCAAACTGGGCCAGGGGCGTCACTCACCCCCTAGCCCGCCGGCCACACGCCCTGACAGCTGTGGCCTGGGACCCAGGCGTTTGCAAGGGGCCTGGGAGTGCGGGGTGGCCCACTGAGGTCAAGCCTCTCCTCACCCGCGGGGCCGCATGTGGCCAAAAGCGGAGGCAGGAGTGAGTGGAACAGCTCCCGCCTCTCCTGCCGCCCCCCACCCCCCAGATTTCTAGAACCCGCAAAGTTGTCCTCAAGTAGGCGAATCCGCAGAGACTTGGCCAAGCCGGAGGAAAGGGTTCGGGAGCCTTGGATTCGGAGGAGAAAATGCTGGCGCCTCTAAAATGCGGATGGCGTTTTAGATAGCCACCTGGGCCAGGCCTTCGGAGGCTTTAACTTAAATGGCTTCAGGGTGTGATTTTTGTGTACTTTTTGTGTTTCTGCAAACCTCCCTCCTCTAAATTTTTTCTTACTCCTTGGCTTAACTACCTCAGCTCAATATTCTCCTTCAAGATAAATATACTGTATTGTGATTCATCCTTGTCTTATTTTGTCAGTAATTACCACAAAATTAAATGGGTCACTGGTAAAGTTTCATTTACACAAATCCCAGTAATTAACAGTTTGAATACACCTTTTACGTTGTACAAAAGTTGTAATTTTCTAACGCGTGTAGTTTTTTACTGGTACATAATGCTTGTGTTGGATTCGATAATAAGAATACAAAGCACCTCGTCTGAGCAGTAGGTGTGTTTGTTTTTTCCTAAACCAGTGTAAAGACTCAGCAAAGATCAAACTTCCCAGAATGTGGGGTGGGGGGTGGGGTCCTAACTATTCAAATTAAAATGTGCGGAATGTAAAGGTCTGAGAATATAGAACATCTGATGAAGCTCACTTGTAAAGCCAAAATCTCTGGGAGAAGCTGAACGGGCTTCTGCAGTTCAATAGCCAGGCTGGGCAAGCCCCGCCCTGGGCTCAGGGAGAAGGTGGGGCCTGCACTGGAGTTCATTCTTCAAAGGTCAAAGGTAGTGTTTCAGGCCCAGGAGGCGTCTCAGCCCAGCCCAGCCCAGGTGAGCTCGGCTGGCGTGTGCTAGGAGGGGGTGCGTGCGGCGTGAGCACCCATGGCCCTTTCTCGCACTCCCACGCTAGCCCCATAGAGAAAAGGCAACACGAGAGGAGAAAGTCACAAGGAATTGCTGTATGAGAAGAAATGAAGTGAAAGCAGAGATGCTTTTTCTTAGGGACCATCCCTGTTATTGCAAATTAGATTAGCTACACAGGCTTCAGCGTAAACATGACAGGGGTTCACCACAGGGAGAGCCCTGTCCACCCCAATCTCTTTTCTCATCGAAGCATCTCACATAAATTATGTCGTGTCCTGTAATACACTTTCAATGAGATTAAAACATCACTTTGACATGATTTTAAGTCCTCTGACTTTCGTTTGAAAGCTGCCCGAGGAGCGGGGTGGGGGTTGGGGGGAAGGAAGGGGGGGGACCGGCCTCTAAAGCCAGCACCACTACCTGCTCCATTTTAACACTGCTTGCATTACCTCCTGGAGGCAGAGGCCAACTGTCCTGCAGGGGAAATCCTATTTCCCTGGCTAATGGGCCTTTTGGAGAGAACACTTGTATTATTATTTGTCAGTATGGGGCTGGGGGCAGCCTTTGAACAGGAAGGATGGGGAAGGACCTGCAGCCCTCCCAGAAGTTACGCAGGGAGCCCACCCCCACTGGCCACTGTCTGGAGGAGGACGAAGGTTTGGCAGATCAGAGAGAGAAGAGCCCTGCTTAGATGGCCTTGGGACCCAAATGTGCCTCGTGGGCAGTGAGGAAACACGGGTGAACACAGAGCTGCCTACAAACCTGTCTAAAGGGGGATCCCCACCTCTCCATCTGGTTCCCCCTCCCTCTGCTCCCCTTTATGGACTGGCTGGCTCTGGAGAGTGGCCCCCAAAGGACAAAGGACCCCCACCAGGCAGCAGGGGAGGGGTGCTAGAATTTCCGGGTAGGAGCTCTGGGCCTTTTCTCTATGTTTCAGCTACCTAAGCTTGTGTTCAAGCCTCTTAACACACAGGCCACTTGCTCCTCGAGGAGGTGCTGGTCACTGCCCTCCTGTCCAGGTGGCTCTGTCCTTTGCCCTGGAGCGGGTAGGCCACCACCCAGAGCCCAGCCCCATCCTCCCCCTGGTCGGGGAGCCTGGAAACACCAAGTCTACCTGACGCGGTTGAGCGGGTTCCTCGGAGGGACGGCCCCTCCTGTGGGTCCCGGTCCTGTACCCCGCTCCCCCAGCCTCGCCTCCTTGGCCGTTTGCCTCATTCTCTCCAGATGACGAGGGGGCCCCAACGCGAGGCCACGCGGAGGTTTTGACCTCCGCGAGCACGACCTCCGTTCTCTGTGCGCGCCAGTGCGCAGGCCAAGCCATCCGGCTCGCCTCGCCCCATCAGGATACAGCTGCTGGGTGTGTGGGGGGACCTGAAGCACCGAGGGGAGGGGAGGCGGCGGTGGAATTCCTTTCCACCTGGATCCAGGCCCCAACTGTTGGTCCGCAACCACAGTCGAGCGCGTTGAGGGACAAGGGCCAGCCCGGGGCGTTCGCCACTTTGCCGCGGTAGTCACGGACCCTCCAGGTCCGAGCTGGGAAAGGGCTTCGGTGACAAGATCGTGGTCCTGAGAGATTCCAGAGCACTACTCCGTTCTTTCTGGCTTGGAGGGGACCCCTCTCCCACCCACGTGGTCGCCTGGGCAGCCCTGCTGTGGCCAAGGCCTCCGCGGGGTCCTCTGAGCATACTGGGGTGCTATCAGCGAGCCCCGTGCTTCTCCCCTTCACAAAGGGGCTTCCAGGACGCTGGTCCAACTGCATCTGGGGAAATCGATGCAGTAAAGCGGGCTTTTAATGAGTTAATTGACTGACGGCCGCTATCGTGTGCGAACACCTGTTTCTGGCACGGCGAGGCAGCCCTTCTGCTCCGATCGGAGCCTGCCATGCCCGTCCCGCCCAGCCCGTCGACCCCCGCACCAGCCCCCGCTGGAAGTCCATTTCACCCCTGAAACTTCGCGCCCCTCCCTCTCGGCGGGCGGCTCGCACGCGCGGGTGGGGAGACTCCCGGCCGCGCGCACAGAGGCCGCAGGCGCTGGAGGTACGGCGATGCCCCGCGGGTGCCATTTCGCAGGAGGAGGGAGGACGCGCCTCGGGGCACTGGGCGCCCGCGCCGGGCTGCCCCCATCTAGGCGGCCCGCCGAGCAGGCGGAGCTCACCCAGGGCGCCCACCGCGCGCCGAACGCTCGCTGCTCAGCATTTTTTTTTTTTTTTTTGTGGCAGGATTAACAGCCAAGACCGTCGGTCAGTCAAAGCTAAATTGATTCTTTGCGCGAAACACCTCTCACTCAGTGGCACACGCTCAACATGTTCATTTTAAAAACGTAATTTCGCCCGGCGGATTCGGCTCTGCGCGCGGCCGGGTGCACAGCGTGGAGAGCGGGGGCCGGGGGCGCACCGGGGGCGAGGCCGGGCCGGGGGAGAAGCGAGCCGCCGCGGACGCGAACCCCTGTCCCGAATTCACGGGCCCGACCTCCCTCCCCTCCCAAGAAGGGCGACCCGGAGGGTCTCGGTCCGCCGGGCGGCGGCCAATCCCAGCAGCCGAGGGGAGGGAGGCGTGAACGCGGAGACGAGAAAATGGCAAATGGACCCGGCCAGCCGGCCCGCGCAGCCACCCACCCACCCCGGGGACCCCGCGCGCTGCTGACCGAGAGGCGCCCTGGCCACGCCGCGCCCACCCTCCGCGCCCGGACGCCGGGCACACTCACTGCGGCTTCCTGCTGCGGCTCCGGCCCGCGGGCACCTCCCGGGCCCGGCTCCCGGCGGCGCCTGTCGGCAGCGGGCCCCGCGCACGCCCCTCACCCGCGCAGCCTCCGCGCCGCCCGCCGCACACTCGCTGCACACGCACACGCACACGCGCCCCTCGCCTCGCGCACACCCTCCCAGACACACGCGCCGCGGGCGAGAGAGACAAGGAGTGAAATTTATTATTGATAGGAGAGACTTTAGAGACAATTTCAACTTATTGTTTCTCTCTGGAAAAAGGGGGATCCCTCCACATAATGAAACGCCTTTTGTGTGGCGCCGAACAATACCAAACAAGTATTCTAATAAATAGCCACTTTTTTGTTCCTCCTCGACAGTGAATAGAATTGAGCGGTTGGTTCGCGAGCAGCTGCGTCGCCGTTTTGAGCTGGAGGTGGAGCCGCGTCCCTCGCGCGCGGCCTGGCCCCCGCCCCCCGCCCCGCGCCCCCCGCCCCGCGCCCGGCCCGCAGCCCGCGTCCCGGCCGGGCCGCAGGTTCGGGCCCAATAAGACAGCAGGGACCTGAGCACCCGCCCCCACCCCAAGCGGCGCGGGAGCCTCTCCCCCTCGCCCCTAAGATAGTTGTCACTCCTGTCACTACCCGGGCTGCACATCTGCGCCTCGAACCGCGCTCCCGGGCCTGCCCCAAGCTCCGGGTGGCGGGGCGCCCGCGCCCTCCCCCGCCGAGTCCCCTCGGTCCCGTCCGGCGCCGCCCCTCCTCCCGCCCGCCGAGTCCTCGCTCCGGGCCCCTCCTCCCGGGACCGAGCTGCAGCTTTGTTCTCCTGCCCAGGGGGCACCTTGGCCTCGCTCTGGCTTTTTCCCTCTGACACCGGCTTTTAAGCACTTCTCCCGGCACCCCCCGCATCTCCCGCCTCCACCACTAACGGCAGATGCTGAACCAAAGTCGGTGTCGAAGGATTTGTGTTGGGGACACAAAACTCTCCAGGTAGAAAGTCGCCACGGCCTCGCGTTTCGCTGGTGGGGAGCCCGCAGGGCTGCGCGGCCACCCGGCCGCGGGGCGCGGACCCTCCCGCCGCCCTGACTCCCTCTGCAGGCGGAGTTCCCCGCCCGCGTGGAGGACCGAGACGCCCACCCTCCGCCCACCCGGGCAGAGGAGGGGGAATCTGCCGAGAAGGCGTCTGGGCCGGAGCCGCATCCCTCTCCGTTTCTCCGTCTGCAATTGTGTGAAGATGTCAGTACTCGGGGGCTTAAATCTAGCGCCCTCTGATCCCCTCTGGAAATGTATCGAAAGCAAACTGCCTTTCTGAAAATGATGACCCCACGTTTTGCCCAAAGGATTTATGACCCCCTCCCACCAGAAGGAAAGATATTTACCATTTAAAAAAGGAAGACGTACACGTACAGCGTTTGAACATCTTAAGTGCTTGTCAGCCCCTCAGTGTTCCAGGGTAGGGTGTGTCTGCTATCCGTCTTGGACAATGTATGATCTATATTTTTTTCATTGCTCACAGCTGCAGTTTTCAGGAGATCCTTGTCTAATTGTGGAGACAAAAGACCCACATGACTTTTACTCAATGGACCTTAATCTAGAGAAACACTATGTCATTTGCAAATTATTTCTTAATCGGACTAAGCTATTTAGAAGTGCCGGGAGAGGAGGTGGTGCTTTGGAAATCACCAGAGAGCTCAGATGTTAAGTAGGGTCCTCTTCCTAGCAGTTCGCCTTCCCGAAGGCACGTTGGTGTAACTGTCAAACTCAAAATAAGGCAGGAACGATGCTTTATTTGGAGACTTTTGTTTTTGAAATTTACTTTTGAGAAACGATATTCCCTTGGAGTTCAAGGTAATTTAGCTCTGTCATCCGAGACGGTAGCAACAGAAAGAAGAGTTTGGTCCTTGGCATTTTTTGAAAACAGGGTTTGTGCAGGAATCTCGTGGTGGGAAACGAGGCACTCTGGAATTGGCCCGATTCCAGCAGACACCCTGAAAGCTTTCTCCTTTTGTATGGAAAATGGAAACATTTTGGAATCCAGATTTAAAACTTTGACTTATATTTTACATGTTAAATCAGTGAAAGATTGGGTACAACACTGCATAAAGCTTCAAAACCTGCAAATATTTGAATGGTTTTTGTAAGCGGAGCAGCTGCCAGTCAGCTGGCTTTGACGGCTGCCACAATTTTGTCACTTAATGGTGGGTGTTAGGCTAAGTGCAAAACACTCTGGCAAACAGATGTCAAACCCGTATCTCACATCAATGGGGGTTGTGAAGTGGAGTTTTAACCCGCATCTAGGTCTGGCTCACGGGAGCCCCTTTGTACGCGGTGCACACAGCCGGGAACGCGCGCGCTCCGAAATGAGAATCGTAGCGGGGCCTGGGCGCTGCAGTTTGGAATCCCGCAGCCCGAGGTGCGCCTCCCTCCCGCCGAGGCGCAGGGGGCCGTGGGGCAGGCCTGACGCCCGCGTCCCCACCCCACCCCTGCGCCCCTCCAGCCGCTCCCCGGAGGCGGCGGCTCTCAACAGCGGGTGCGCCGAGGCGGGCAGGGAGCGCTCTGGGCGTTCACTCCCCCGGCGCCCAGGCCTCTGCCCGGCCACCTCGGCCCCGACGCCTTTCCAGTGGCCTCGGTGTGCGGCTGGGGGTGGCGCCCGATGAAAAGACCCGCCAGCGCAGCGAGGCGGCGGGCACAGCCAAGGTCGGCACGCCTTCCGGCCAGGCCCGGGCGACGCCCGCAGCCCCAAGCCGAGCGCGGCAGGCGCCGGCCTTCCTTGACTCCCACCGTCCGCGTCGGGGCCTCTGGACCGCATTGCGGGTGCGGAGGGCTGGGCGCCAACAGACGCCGGGAGGCCCCCGCGCAGCCAAGAGGGAGCGCGGAGGCGCGCAAGGCAACATCGTCTTTGTTCGGGCGCCCCGAGGACCTGAGCCCCCTCTTCAGCTGGCCCCTACCGTGACGCTGAACTGTCCCCTTCAGTCCGAGGGCCCGGCTCCCGCGGACAGGCGCCCTTTGTGTTCCCGCCCCGCGTGTGCACCCCCGCGCGTGGCGCCCTGTGCGGACACTGCCCTCCCTGCAAACCCAGGGCGCGGAGGGCTTTTCTGCAGCAAAGATATTTACGTTACGCGGTAGCAGCGTAATGAAATGTCGAGATGTTTCCCCGAATGTTCGCCTCTTGGTGGTGCCCAACTTGGACACGAAATGCAAACCTTTACCAGATTGCATCCGTTACCTAGATTTACAAGGTAGTGCCGTGTCACAGCGGATTAACTGCTGCAAGATTCTCATGATGTGGACGGCGTGTGACTCACTGCTGCACCCACACTTCTTTCCTTTCTATAACCATCCTGCCAACTTTTCATTTTTAGAACTTATTCTTGAAGCTGGAAGGTCAAAATAAAAAATTTTGATTAAACTACAAAAGGCAAATATGTCAGTATGAAGATTAAAAAAAAATTGAGGGCTTTTCCCTTGTTCCTTTGAAGAAGGGAAGCTGCTTCCCTCAGATCTGCATATCCCTTCATGAAAGCCATTTAGAATGACTAAGAATCTTTACGCTGCTACCTACTTTATATAAGCAGAAACACTAATTTTAATTTGTTTTCCTATAAGATTAGCTTGAGACTCATTCTTATTTGCCATCAATGCATAAACAGTTAATAAGTGCTTGAAATAAGACCCTTGCTTATTTTTCATATTGCCATTGACGGAATGGCATCAAATCATAATCTAATTGCTGCCCCCACCCCCTAGAAAAAGAAAACCCTCTTGAAATATACATATGTTTTACTGGGGTGGAACTTTAAAGATAATTAAAGCTTCTCTATGTTCATTGATTTAAATTGTATTTTAATGGAAACCAGATGTGTTAATTTTAAAAGTAGTTTTTATAGATCTATAGGATAAATTCCAAATGTTCAAAAATGAAAATGTGAACATTTTAACTTTCTGACTAGAGTTCACTATTTTCACATGTAAAGGTATCTAACCTACCTGGGAAAGTAGTTGTAGGTATGAATACTTGACATTAGAATTACCTGAATCCTTTTAGAAAATTCCAGTGGCCAGGCCTTGTCTCAGACCAGCTGACTCTGTCTCTTGAAAAACTCACCAGCATTTTCAAAAAGGGCCCATAGTGACTCTGATCCGAATCCAGAGTTGGGAACCCCTGGCTTAAACCAGCATTTATAAGAAATTGCTTGAAGGTCCGCCAAGAAACCACATTGCCACAATAATAGCAGATTGTTTTCCAACTTTATGGAGTGATTATAATGTAAAAACATTTACTTCAGCCCATGTGGGCGTGGCTTGTAGATTTCCACATGCTGACATGGAGCATGTATGCACACTCCCATTTTTATCTGAGGTGCCACGATGGAGCACCTCACAATTACTCCTGGTGGTCTTCTGCAGAGTGCATGCTTTCTGTAAAGGTCATGGTGGGGCTGAAGCAGGACAGGTGTCACCTTCAGCAGGCAGCATTGCCTAGCTTGGGGACGTCTGACTTTGACCTGAAGGTAGGACTAGGCAGGAAGCAGGTCATTAAGGAGACTTATTAAGATTTACGTGGCTTACATCTTTTAAGGGAAGGGCAAGTAATGGATGTGTGGAGTGTGTCGTGTCAGAGCCCCAGTTTCTGTGTGAGATCGGGTAGTGTAGCCTGACACCGCCCCCCTCTCAAGTTGGAGGAGTTCACAGAGGGCTAGAGCACCAGGGAGGGGCTTGAAGGATGGAGGTGGTTCCGGAGAAGGAGGGAGAGCTGAGGGCTTCGCTCAGGATCCAGGTGGGCTTCTGGCCAGGACAGCTTTCCAAGGTCATAGTTAACAGTGGTTTTGACATTGTTAGAACTGTCCCCTAAAAAAAATTATTAACGTTCTACCTACCCATACTTACTTGATTGAATACATAATTTCACTCTATGTCCTTTATCCAAGGGCCAAATGGTGAGCCATAAAATAATGAATTTTGCTGACTTGTCGAATTTCTGTATTCCTGTTTAATTGGATGTAAGCCTCCCCCATCCCTCTCTCCCAGCAGTGAACCCTCACAGCAAACCGATGCAGTGAGAACTTAGTCCACAAGTTGCTGACTAGGAAGACCACTGGGGCATCCAAACATTCTCTGAATCGAGCCTA